TCCTTGGTTTCCTTCCTTTACCTTCTTTCATATTGATGACCGTGTTTCTGTGTTTCTGTGTGTAACACATCTTTAAGCATCTTTTGCAGGGCTGGACGAGTGGCAACAAATTCTTTCAATTTCTGTTTGCAATGAAAAGTCTTTATTTCACCTTCATTCACAAATGATAGCTTTGCAGGATATAATATTCTGGGCTGGCAGTTGTTCTCTCTTAGTACCTGGGCTATATCTCGCCATTCCCTCCTAGCTTTTAGAGTTTCTGATGAGAAGTCAGCTGTGAGTCTGATTGGAGATCCTCTCAGAGTAATCTGACGTTTCTCTCTTGCACATTTTAGGATCTTTTCTTTATGTTTCACTGTGGAGAGTTTAATTACAACGTGTCGTGGTGAGGATCTCTTTTGGTCGTGTTTATTAGGGGTTCTGTGGGCTTCCTGTACTAGGATTTCTCTGTCCTTCTCCAAACCTGGGAAATTTTCTGCTAATATCTCACTAAAAAGGCCTTCTAATCCTTTCTCCCTCTCCATGCCTTCAGGAACTCCTAGAACCCGAATGTTGGGTTTTTAAATAGTATCCTGAAGATTCCCGACAATATGTTTCAAATTTCTAATTTCCTCTTCTTTTCTTTGGTCTGACTGTATCCTTTCCTGTTCTCTGTCTTCTAAGTCCGATATTCTCTCTTCTGCTTCACCCATTCTGTTTGTAAGGCTCTCTATTGTGTTTTTCATTTGATCTATTGAATTCTTCACTTCAGTCACTATCACAGTTTCCTGTTGTACTAGTTGTTTCGTTTCATTTTGATTCCTCCTTAATATTTCATTTTCACGAGAGAGATTTTCTATCTTGTCCATTAAGGATTTGTGTAGTTCCAGAATTTGTTTTTGAGAACTTCTTAATGTTCTTATCAATTTTTTGAGATCTGCTTCTTGCATTTCTTCTATGTCATCATCTTCATAATCTTGAATTGGGGTGTCTTTTTCATTTGAGGGCGTCATGGTGACTTCTTTGTTTTTATTACCTCGGTTTTTGCGTTTGTTATTTGGCATATTGGAGATATTTTGTTTCTTCACTGTGGTGCTTTTTCTTGTTATACTATGACTCTAGATTAAGTGGACTATCTGTTTTTGATGGAGCCTTAGGGCTTGAGATGGGTGTGGCCTGAGAGCTCTGTTTGGTGTGCCAAAGGTGACACTCCCAGGTTAGGCGTGGTAAATCTCTCTCTCTCTCTTTTGGGTTTTTTTTTTTTTTTTGATTCAAAAGGGAAGTAATCCGCACAGCTGAATGAAGTTGGAGGTAGTTAGCAGGCAAATGATATACCCACAGGAGCCAGAGATCGGAAGCTCTTTCCCAAGATCCCCACAGGGAATCTGTTCGGCCCTCAGAGTGGGCTCAAATTCTCCTTCAGCCTCCCACTGGGTTGCCAAAGTTACGGAATTGTAGCGTCTCTGGAGAGTGCTCACGTGAATTCCGTGAGTTCTCTCCCCCACCGTCTCTTTTTTCACAGTCTCAGTTCAGTAGCACCACAAATTTACTAGCTCCTAATCTCCTGTTAATTCGCCCCGCCCAGAGTCAGGTTTTTCTGCTAGGCTCAGGGCCGGTGCAGACCTGAGGTCGCTCTGCTTATGACGTATGTCCAAGATGGTGCCTGCTCTTTGTCTTGCTCGCCCTTGAGAGGTGAGCGGAGAGAGAGAAACCCGTGTCCGTACTAGTCACCCCTTTTTTTTTTTTCTCTCTCTCTCTCTCTCTTCCAGTTAGCCTTGTGAACTTCCCCCCCCCCGGGGGGTCGTTCCCTCTAGTCTCCTCTCTCCGCTTGCCTGCCGGTGTCTCGGGCTATTGAGGTTCGGCTCACCTCGCGTTCCAGCGCTGGTGTGTTGAGTCTGCCGCTGATGTCCCAAACTGTGGGCTCCCACGCTGTCCACGCAGGTCCGCTGTGAGTCACGCGTTCCGGAAGAGTTTCTTCTGCTGTTTCCTCCCCTACTCTTCCTTGAACCTGCAGTATCTCCACTTTTATTAAACTATCTTTCCCCAGACTATCAGTGTGCTCCCTTCCTATTCCGCCATCTTCCCAAAAAGCCCTCTCTTCAGTATTTCTATTCCTTATTTCCCTTCTACTTATAAAAATTGACATTATGCCATCTGATGTCCAGTTTTCATCACTGGCTCATGTGAGTTCCTTAAAATGTTGCTGCCCGTGAATTATGACCTGTATTTTTTTTATAACAGAAGCTAAAAGATGTAGACATCGCAATTTAGTGTTTTTTTTATAAAGATTTATTTATTTATTTGCAAGTCAGAGTTACACACACACACACACACACACATGGGGGGGGGTGTCTTCTATCTGATGGTTCACTCTCCAAATGGCCACAACAGCAGGAGTTGTGCCAATCTGAAGCCAGGAGCCAGGAGCTTCTTCCGGGTCTCCCACATAGGTACAGGGGCCCAAGGACTTGGGCCATCTTCTACTGCTTTCCCAGGCCAGAGCAGAAAGCTGGATCAGAAGTGGAGCATGTAGGTCTTGAATCGGCGCCCTTATGGGTTGCTGATGCTTCAGGCCAGGGCATTAACCCGCTGTGTCACAGCTCTGGTCCCTAGCGGTTGTTTTAAAAACAGAAAATATATCTCTTCCCTCTCTTATTCCTACTCTTATGTTTAACAGGGATCACATTTCAGTTAAATTTCAACACTTAAGAATAACTGTGTATTAATTACAGAATTAAACAAGTCATATTAAGTAGAACAGACAAAAAAACTACTAAGAGGGATAATGTATTAAGTTGTTCATTAACAGTCAGGGCTATGCTGATCAAGTCACCGTTTCCCATAGTGTCCATTCCACTTCAACAGGTTTCCTTTTTGGTGTTCAGTCAGTTGTCACCGATCAGGGAGAACATATGGTATTTGTCCCTTTGGGACTGGCTTATTTCACTCAGCATGATGTGTTCGAGATTCCTCCATTTTGTTGCAAATGACTGGATTTCGTTGTTTCTTACTGCGGTATAGTATTTAAAGAGTACATATCCCATAATTTCTTTATCCAGTCTACCGTTGATGGGCATTTAGGTGGGTTCCAGGTCTTAGCTATTGTGAATTGAGCTGCAATAAACATTAGGGTGCAGACCGCTTTTTTGTTTGCCAATTTAAATTCCTTTGGGTAAATTCCAAGGAGTGGGATGGCTGGGTCGAACGGTAGGGTTATCTTCAGGTTTCTGAGGAATCTCCAGACTGACTTCCATAGTGGCTTCACCAGTTTGCATTCCCACCAACAGTGGGTTAGTGTCCCTTTTTCCCCACATCCTCGCCAGCATCTGTTGTTGGTAGATTTCTGAATGTGAGCCATTCTAACCGGGGTGAGGTGGAACCTCATTGTGGTTTTGATTTGCATTTCTCTGATTGCTAATGACCTTGAACATTTTTTCATGTGCCTGTTGGCCATTTGGGTTTCCTCTTTTGAAAAATGTCTATTGAGGTCCTTGGCCCATCTCTTAATTGGGTTGTTGGTTTTGTTTTTGTGGAGTTTCTTGATCTCTTTGTAGATTCTGGGACATGCTCAAGCTGACTTGCCCCAAATGGTAGAGTTAGAAACATACCAGGGGACTCCAATTTAATCCCATCAAGGTGGCATGTACCAATGCCATCTCACTAGTCCAAGTGATCAATTTCAGTTCACAATTGATCATAATGAAAGGACTAAGAGTCAAAGGGAGCACATAAGCAAGTCTAGTACCTGCTTACACTAACCGATAGAATAAATAAAGGGGAGAGTGATCCAACATGGGAAGTGAGATACTCAGCAGACTCATAGAATGGCAGATGTCCTAAATAGCACTCTGGCCTCAGAATCAGCCCTAAAGGCATTCAGATCTGGCTGAAAAGCCCATGAGAGTATTTCAGGCATGGAAAGCCAAGACACTCTGGCAAAAGATCTCTGTGAGTGAGATCTCAGTGGAAAGAACAGGTCTTCAAAGAAGGAGGTACCTTTCTCTGAAGGGAGGAGAGAACCTCCACTTTGACTATGACCTTGTCTAAACAAGATAAGAGTCGGAGAACTCAGAGGGCTTCCATAGCCTTGGAAACTCATGACTGGAGCATAGGGAGATTACTGATGCCATAGACAGGAGTGTCAATTGGTAAAGTCAACAACAGGAGTCACTGTGCACTTACTCCTCATGTAGGATCTCTGTCCTTAATGTGCTGTGCATTGAGATTTAATGCAATAACGAGTACTCAAATAATATATTTCACTTTGTGTTTCTATGGGGGTGCAAACTGTTGAAATCTTTACTTAATGCATACTAAACTGATCCTCTGTAAAAAAAAAAAAAAAAAAAAGAAAAGAAAAGAAAAGAAACTATCAACTCCCAACTTGACTCTCACTGGGATTAAACATGACAATAGGTCTGATTTGATTTCATCATCATTAAAAAAAATCATCTATTATTTTTCACTTTATGTTTCTGTGTGGGAGCAAACTGTTGAAATCCTTACTTAATGTATACTAAGCTGATCTTCTGTATATTAAGATAATCGAAAATGAATCATGATGTGAATGGAAGGGGAGAGGGAGTGGGAAAGGGGAGGGTTGTGGGTGGGAGGGACGGTATGGGGGGGAAGCCATAGTAATCCATTATTCGTACTTTGGAAACGTATATTCATTAAATAAAAGTTAAAAAAAAAAAGAAAAAGAAAAAGAGAGAGTTTTAGTCGGATGAAATGAACCATCAATAAAAGCAATACAAGAGAAAAAAAAAACAGAAAATAAAAATGTAGTCACCAACTTAGAGGATTTTATACATTATTAAGTATTCTATTATTTTTCCACAGCCTGAATTTAGTATTCTACTTTATTTCCATGGCCTGAATATTATTTCTTACTTGAAAAAACATACTTCATTTCTAATCAGTTATTTTATCTTTCTTCAGTAGAAACAGTTTTCTTTTTTGGCAGAATTTTTCTTTGAAACAACATAAATGCCTTTCCAAATTAGCGCACAAGTCTTCCTTAAATGTCAGTAACAACAAGGGTAGAGTAGCAATTTTTAAAATTGCATGAAAGCCACTGTTATGCTGATGATGGTTTTGGCTGTTTCGCGGATGGTCCACCTGAACTAGTTTTGTTATCAATGCTGTTTTCATCTTCTGCATCATCTTCATCACCACCTTCTCGGAGCTCACTGTCCAAGGCCTCATCTCCAGCCACTGCCACCCAGTCCTGCATCTCCCGTTGTCCCAACAGGTCCAAGAGCTCTGTTACCAGCTCCCTCCTCTGGGCCACGCCAGCCAGCAGGCCCTCAAAGGGGTCGGCGTCACCCAGCGGCTCACAAGACGCCCGCAACCTCTGCGGCTTCCTTTTCTGCCTGACGTACGCTCCTGCTGACTCCATGGCCTAGATTTATTCTTGGGTATCTGACATTTTATGTCGCTGTAAATAATATGATTTAATTTCACATTCTAACAATTTGCTAGTGGCATATAGAAATATATACTCAGAGATCTTGCAAGCACTTAATATTCTTCATGATTTCTCACTGGTTCTTTTGGATTTTCTTTTTTCACAAAATATGTAACAAATATAAAGTTTTCATTCTTATACAATTTGAGTATCCCTCATCCAAAATGCTTCAGAACAAAAGTGTTTCAAATTTTGGGTTCTTTGGCATTTTGGAATTTTTGCACATATATAATTAAATTTCTTGGGGATGGGACCCAGTCTAAACAAGAAGTTCACTTATGTTTAATATATGCCCAATACATGTAGCCTAAAGATAACTTTATATAATATTTCTAATGTATCTGCATTTTGATTGTGACCTGACACTTGAGGTCATGCATGGAATTTTCCACTTGTAGCTCAGAAAGTTTCTGATTGGGCGGCATTCTGGATTTCAGATTTTTGAATTAGGATTGCTCAACTTGTAGTCTGTATTTTCTCTAGATTTACTGAATCGCTTAGAATGTTCAGTAGGCCATCCCTCTCAATACAACTTGATCTATAGCTTTGATTAGGAACATGAACTGTCTTTTCTCAAAGATTTATATTTCCTGAAGTGTGACATTGGCATTTCAGATCTCTGCAGGTCTGGAGTTGTGTGAGAAGAGATACCTCCCTATTCCAGAGGTTGAGTAGTTCACACATCCTGCTTCAATCAAGCTGTCATATGTTGCATTTTTCTGGGAGTGATTTTAAGTCTTCTTGACCTGCTCTAGGAATAAAAAGGTAGCTCATTCAGATGATGCTCCCGTGGAGTTGTTGATGAGAGAGTCAGCAGGCACTGACATAAACCCCAGAGCTGTTCCCACCAGACATGCCACATCTTTGGATATGCTGCTACCTTATTTCCTCCAGGCTGTTATTCTTACAGACATCTTTTATCAGTCTTAAAAATTCTCCTATTTTTTTATCATCTCCAAGAGATGTAGCAAAGTTGATGTCCTTACATATCATCTTTTAAGTTTTCATTTTCTTAAGATGTTTGTTTATCCAAAGGGCTCTTGTTCATGGAAGACAGAGAGCATCAGACTACATGTCCTGTGATTGTGGGAACCTGGGAATTGCCTGTGTGAGGGAGCATGGTACAAGAGGTTAAGATATAAGTAGATCATGGAGATAAAATTCTAAGGACTCAGGGATCAAGGGCAAGAACCTGAATGGTTCAGGTGCAGAGGAGCCCAGGTCCAACAGACTATGTTTGTAGCCCAAGGGAAACTAGTAAACCTAATGGCCAGTTGGCCAGTGTTGGGCTGGCTGAATCGACATTTCTCTGGTGGCTTTAAAAGCACAACATATTTTTGGGCCCCACCCTCGTAGAATTCCATTCAGGAGTTTGACAAAATGACCTAGGAATTTGATATTTTTTAAAAAGTTCTGTTGGAGATTCTGATGACCCATCAATGCTATGGAGAACTCAAACACACAGATTAAACTTCAGGAACTTTTCATTAGAGAGCATCTTGAGGGAAATCTGAAAGCTAAAGATAATAACCAAGCAGGTGGACGTTTCACAGTGTGCTTTAAAATAAGCCTAGAGATGTCAAAACCCTGCATTAAGGTTTGATCCATTCTCCCCTGGTGACGCCACAAACAGCTTTTGGTTAGAGTTTGGGTGAGGTTGCAGTGAGGCTGGAGTGTTAGAATTCAGTAGGTTGGTTCGTAAGTCACTATGTGCATAATGATTGCTTGAGCAATTAAACAAAAAAGTAGCAGTGCAGAGAAGGTTCATACTAAACATACTGAATCAAGCTCTCTGGCAATGCAGAGATTTGGCATTTTAAAATTTGAATGATTTTATTTATATTCCAAGTAAATACAAGCAATACATGAGAATGTATTTTTTTGTTAAGGAGACAGTTTGACTTGATTATTATTACAATTACAGTGACTTTGGAGGAAGACATATCCAGCCTTCTACCCAGAGATTATTTCCAAAATTTGCTTCTTGTAGGTGTTTTAGGTGAGCAACCTTGGTATGAAGCTTTCATTTTCTAGAAACCAGTGCGGCAGGTTGTTCTGGTCCTGTCTCTCAGCTGTGCCCCACTTGTCCAGCAAGAAAGGGCCAGAGAACCAGATGGAGAAATAAGGTTCTTTAGTTCAAGTACCCTCCCCTTTTGGGGGACAGCGGACAATTTCTTCTTTTATAGGTTTATGCTATAATCTTCCATTTCTAAAGGATTTAGTCGAACTTTCACTTCCAGAAATGTGCTGAACTTCTACGAAGAAGGTCTTTCCTTGGGGATCTTTTCTGTTTTGGATGAGTTCATTGTATATGGAGAAAAGTGAAAGAGTGAGGATTGAGAGGCAGAGCTGGGAGGGATAGTAGGAAGGAAAGACTTTGGCTCATTTTCATCAGGGTACCCGAATATCTGGGACTGGGATCAGAGTTCATGTTCTGACTCAATGATCCAAATCCCCAAATTGGAGGGAAACAAACCCAGCCTCCTTTATTTTCACAATGGGATGGAAGCTGTCAGTGTCATTTTGAGTGTAGGCATCCACAATGGAGATAGGAAGTAGAACCTGTTGGTCTTTGGAATTAGAGCTATTGCATCCAATTTGTAATATATCTATTGAGGAAGAGTGAAAGAGAGGACTCTGTTAGTAAGTAAAACTATAGGCTGCAGTTACCTGAAGAGCCACACACACACACACACGCACACACGCACACACGCACCATCATGTGTGCCCGGTGATACACAGTCACACTGATAGAGAGCTGAGCTACTTTACCGGTGGAGTAGGGAGGTTCCCTTCCTCATCTACACGGTTCTTAACATTTTCATATGGTTATGGCTATGTCTAAAAAACTTCCTATGAAATATATATGATTAACCAATGCAGTGGATGAAAAAATAAGGATCTTAGAAATTAATTTACCAAAGATGATACATATAGGATGTGTCCAGATTAATGTCTATGTGTTCTAATTGCAAAAGCCACCCTCTTCTCTTTACACCCTGTTGACTCTTACAATTTAAAATTACAATTTAATATTTGTGGCCAAACTCTGCACATAGAGTTCAGAGTAAACATCTCCAATCTGGCATCTCAGCCAAGAGCAAGAGGACGGACAAGGCTGCAATGCCCAGAAGAATTTCTGGAAGGATCAGGTGGAAGAGAAAGATCAAACATCCCCTCAGGCCAGTTGGAAGGAGTTCTCAACATGCTTTCTTACCCTTTGAAGATGTCCCTTTGGGCAGATTCTGCCTCTACAGGAAAAGTCAGTGGTAGCTACAAAACAGCACATGTTATGAATATAACCCCAGGAGAGGGAACAGGATGTTCTTCCTGGTTTTATAGATACAATAATGTCCTTGTGTCAAAGATCATTTTAATGCATTTATTTCCACTCGCTTGCCACTTCCACCACTTCAGTCATGTGATTGATTGTTACTGGATTTCATTTGCCAAATTCGCACTGAAGTGAGACAAGTCTCCTAACTGCCAGTTCAATCCTGTCTTATGCCTTGTAGTATCTGCAGGGGGTATACCCCTTCCACTCCCCGGGGTTAGGAATTGAGATCTGGTTCTGTGAGTGACTGATTACCGATAGAAACCTCCACATGAATCAGGAGCTTCATCCACCTGAGTTTGACACATAGGTACCTCATCCTCACTTTCCTTCCCAATGTCTGTTTCCATGCCCTGGACACATTTTGAGAGAACATAGAGAACTCATCAATATCAGAGCCATAATATTTTTTCCCACATTTTTCATTCTACTCTTTTTAGGAAGATTAACTTCCATCCTGGTTTGCCTAGAACTTCCTCAGTTCAGCAATGAAAGCCTTGTATCCTGGAGAAACCTAACTCTGGGAAAACTAGGGTGGGTGGTCACTCTTAATTTACCTTCTGATTCAACTTCCAGCTTCCAAAATCCTTCAATGCCCAGGCTAATTTCCAGAATCCCAGGCTGGGCTGGGAATGAAGCGAAGCCAGGGAAGTATAAAATAATCTGCAGAATTAACTGTCCTCCTTTGAGGTATAGGAATTCGGAATAAAGCAAAAAGGAAACCAATCACTTATTATAAGGCTTATCTCTTGTCATTTTTTCCTCAACCCCACAAATAAAAACGTTGTTTAAGACATTTTTTAGGAAAAAAATTTTTTATTTATTCAAAAGGCAGAGTGATGAAGCGAGAGACAGAATGCCTGGAACAGTCAGAGCCATGCCAGGCCAGACCAAACTCAGGAACTCCATCCTGGTTTCCTATTTGGGAGGCAGGGACACAAGCACTTCGGCCATCATCTGCTACCTTACCTCGCACATTAAGAGGAAGCTGGATTGAAAACCAAGCAACTGGGACTCAAACTGGCACTCCAGTGTGAGAAGCCAGTGTCATATTGCCAGCTCTAAACAGAGACATTTCCATCCAACTTACTTTTACTTCTTAGCAACATTATTCTGCTTTCAAAAATGTTCGGTGTAATCACAGCATAGCTTCCAAACCAATGTGCCTGCATTCTCTTCCCTTCAACTCAGTCTTCAAAACTGCTATTAAATTAGCCTTTCTTAAGTGACCTCTGATAGGGCCACTTTCCTCTCAAAAGTTGGCCTTCTTGCCTACTGAGGAAAGTAAAAGTTTCTTAATCTGACATTTCAGGCCTTCTATTATGTCATCTGCACTTATAGGTTCGTCTCCTAGCATTTTCCTGCATAAAGCCAATACCTGGACTTTTCACTGATCCTTCATGTTGCCCGACTGCTGGAGTTGTGCTTGTGCTTCTGACCTTCCATATTCCTTCATACAGCTCATGTTTTCAGAGGTCAGAATTAAATGCATTCCTTGAGGTGTGCTTTGCATAACCCATTTTTTTCTTTTTCTTTCTTTCTTTCTTTCTTTCTTTCTTTCTTTCTTTCTTTCTTTCTTTCTTTCTTTCTTTCTTCTTTTTTTTTGACAGGCAGAGTGGACAGTGAGAGAGAGAGAGAGAGAGAGAAAGGTCTTCCTTTACCGTTGGTTCACCCTCCAATGGCCGCCGCAGCCGGCGTGCTGCGGCC